ACAAACTTAATCAATATATTTACGATGATTATTTAAACAATTTACTCAATCAATATATTTACTATGATTCGCATAACTAATCTTAAAGAAATCAAGGGACAATTTGACTCTGGACCACCTGTCCTACACTAAACCAATGTCCCCGGACAACTGGCCCAACCAAGGGCCCTGGTTACGAACAAGAGGTCTCTAGTCAACTGGCGTCTCCAGCTCACTTTGGCACTAGAGTACAGACTTATTCAGCCTTTATTTCCAATGCTAAAGCTACGGTGGTCGACCAGTTGATGCAACCTATACTATAAGGCTTATTCAGCCCTGTAGTAACCTTTATTGCGATTCTGCTAATTCAACGTCCTCACTTATTTCTTTACCCTTACCTGGTAACTACTCTGCAGCTACAGCGAACAAACTCGCAAACAGACTCCAAGGAGACTTCAAATAGACTGACTGAAGCTGCCAACACCCGCTATATATATAGTATTGGACTAGTCTATTTCATGGTAGGGGAGACAGGTTATTCCATGTCCAAAAAAAAACCTTAACTACCCTATTAACATAGATTGGTACAACCCTGATTCATCACAAAAGGGTAAACTTTTGTGAACTTTATCCTGTTGTTTGATTTGTGACTTTGTCGCCCGCGTGGCGCAGTGGTTAGAGTGTTCGCTCTAGAGTCGCGGCGTAAGGAGTTGATCCTTACGTCGCGAGTTCGAATCCCACTGTGGGGCGTGGAGACCGGTCCTTCGGATGAGACCGTATAAACCGAGGTCTCGTGTCGCAGTAGGTGCTGGCACGAAAAAGATCCCTCACTGCCCAATGGCCGTAAGTGCCGAGTATAGGACAAAATTTGCAGCTCTCCACCGGCAAGTGGTGGCGTCTCCATATGAGTGAAAAATTCTCGAGAGGGACGTTAAACAACACACAATCAATCAATCAATGATTTGTGACTTTATGTAACAAAATTAAAAATCTCTTTGAAATTGTATAATCTTGTCTTTATTCTAGCCTTGCTCTGTTACACATGAAATCTAAGGAAAAATATATTTAATATGAGAGATTTCTATGAATTGTCTTTTTTTTGACAGACACCTATGTTATACAATTATTACATTATTTAGTATTATTTTTACTACAGAAGGGGCGATGTCCTCCTTTAGTACTGCCATAGGGTGTTGTGTATGAGTAGTATGACCGACACCTGAGGGGGGTATACAATGGGGGTATTGTGTAAGCGAACAATGGAGGGGACAATAGAGACCCAGATGACCTTGTCCGACTTATGGTTGAGTGCCCTTGAACAATGGTGTACCCTTGACCTAGAAAGGGTAGAGTACAACTGAACAATGGGGTATAGAAAAAAGGGAACAATGGAGAGTGGGGAAAACCCAGTGACGTCAATAAAATGAACAATGGGGTTGTATCTAATGTCAACAAGGGAATTTCCATGGACGACTGTAAATAGTAAGTCATTGTAATGGTAAATGAAAGGAGATAATGGGGCGTGAGGATTCAAGAGAAAAAAAAAGAGACAAATACATTGGAATTCTTTTGTTTAACTCCGGACTGATTTTCCTGTTGTGACCATGACCTACTTATTCATTTCTCAACAAAAGGAGATGAGAAAAAGAAATGATGATCATACTTTCGTCGAGAACACATCTGAGCACAAGTATTTTCGTAACACAATGTCAACGATAAAATACGAAATTAAGATTGCAGGAGAATACACGGGTTTTGAGACTTTCTTGAGAAGGGGAGCGGCTGTCAAAAAACTCGTCGATGGTTATATTGCAATTAACATGAATTCTACCTCCTGTGACTACTGTAAGAAACATTACGTTTTGAGAAGCAAACTCGTACACGAGAAACACTGTCTCGTCAGACTGGCTATGGAAGCTAAAACGGATGTCAGGAAGATGACGACATTCTGTCTGCGTGCAAACGACATCGAAGACGATTCGTTTAAGGAGGAAATCTTAAGTATCCCAGAAGTTCTGAAAATAACCATGGCTGATCGTATTCCCTTCGATGATATGGAACAAGCTTACTACGAATCACTTTGGGAAGATTACTATTATGGCAGAATGGAATTTTTGTGGCCGGACGGAGTTTGGCGGAAAGAAGAACCTATGTGAATTCAAGCTGTAGGGACAGTCATAACAAAAACATTTTTTAATAGGTTAAATCATGTCATCATTTTGTTCATTATATTTCAAACACTTGTCAATAAATGTCATTTGAAAACGTTACGAATGTTTTGTTTTATATTCTTAAAAAAGGATAGGGGCATCTGTACATGGAATCGTGTGTTGTTACAAGGAACAACTATGATGACATTCTTGTCAGAGGTCTTTGCAAAGTACTTGAGGAGAAAAAAAATAAACACTCCAATCTCCTCCGAATTTGTCGTGAAAATCCATGGAGACTTGACTGTCAAACAATTCACTTGGTGACAAATGGCATCTACATCAGTAAGAGTTAAGATGTTTTCCAGACACGTGACAAACACTCGTGATGAATATTTTGAAGTCCCCAGTCAGTTTCCGACTGTACAAATTCCTTTACAAACTGTTCTTATATCAGACACGTTTTTTCATCACGTGACCAAAAAAAAAAAAAGAAAAGACAAAAACAAAATGAAATATAATACAGATTTTATTCCTTCACGGTCTATGGTAACTAACATTTTCTCTTAAAAAATATCAATGACATTGAAAAAAAAATGTCCGAGAAATGATATGTATACTTTTTTTTAAGTGTTCATAAATATATTAACAGTCTTTCACAGTTTTTGTACAGTTCTCACGGTTTTTTCACCACTTAAAGAATTCATCGGGATTACAGGCTTCACATTGTAACATTCCCAATTGATTATGATCATCGTCCCGTTCATGACAAGGGATGACCTGCTCCAGCTCTGGTAAGATCTTTTCGATGTCGCCTATATGTTTTTTCAAGTTTTGGTATTCCAGTGGTCTAAGACAGAGCCCCTTTTTAGTAGGGACGAGACCGGATTCACAGGAGGGTTTCCAATACTGTCGAACGTCGATGCAGGGATTGTCCTTCTTGACTGTGACGTAGACATTAAATCCAAGGTGCCATTTTCCATCGACATTTTCTTTTAAAGTTGCTTCAATCAGATCCAAGGTGTCGATCAGTGTTTTAAATGAGAGCAGTTTCAAACTGATGCCCTTTTTGGTGGGTTTCAGAAATGGCTGATGAATTTCCCATTCCCTCAAATCAACTCTGAGTTCTTCTTTCCACGTTTGGACTTTGACATAACGTCCATTTTCCAGTGCCACGGAAAAGCGAGGAGTAGACATGTTTTTCGTTTGGTGATCAAAATTAAAAATGAGAAAATGTCGATGGTGAGATTTTTATACTGGAAGTGAGAGCTACGTCATGGAAAATTCCTCGACGTCAATGGACATTTATTTGATAACAATGAAAGAAGAATGAGGGTAATGAGGCGGGGAAATGGAAAAATACAGAGAATACCAAAGAATACAACGGAAAACCCATGACGTCATACACATTGTCATTGAGACACAGAAATGGAAAAGTACAGAGTTATTGAATAACGAATAATAAAATGGAAAAAACCATGACGTCAAACTCCTTTGTCATTAAGAAACACACGGATAATGAAAATGACAAAAATAGACATGACCTCGATTTTCTTTAGAAAGATTACAATAGGAGAGAAACAATAAAGAAACGCACGAATAAGTTGTAGACGTATAAGTTCTTTTTTCGAATCGTCATTTCACGTCTGCTACTCGACTGATCAAGATGACTTCCACGTTAGATGGAATTCCCAACCTGATAGAAACGGACTCTGCTGCCAATTTTGCTTGGGGCAACACGTCCTCTTTAGAATGTGAACCCTCTGACTCTTGGGAGGCAGATAGCAATGCTAATTTTGCCTGGGGTTATCCAGATTCCTCCTCATCCAAGAAGAAATCAGATGAGTACGTCACGGTACAAATGCCAGTGAAAAACATCCCTCCACCACCTCTACCTAAAAAGGAGGTTTCTGTCTGGAAGTACCCAGAATACGTCAACTTTTCCGAGCGTTATGCCAGTTTTGGGGATTGGCCAAAATATCTGAAGGGACCCAACAAAAAAGACCTGGCACGTTCTGGATTCATCTACACCAAGATCGGAGACAGAGTCACTTGTTTCTCCTGTGGCATGACCCTGAAAAACTGGGAACCTCTGGACGATGCTTACAAAGAACACCTTCGCTGGTCCAAGAACTGTTCCTACGCCCGGATGGTAACAGATGGAAAATACGATGACTGGAGAAAGAGAACTTACAATGTTCGTCAGTAAATAAAATGTGAAGGACTCTTGTTAAAATGTGCTCCTTTGACAGCTTACATTGAACATTTATTATCATGGACTTTTGCCTGCCGAGAATCCGAAACAACAGATCTAGGACACGTATAGCACGTGGTCCGAGTCGTATGGACATAGATTGAACGTAGTAGTGAGGCAAGCATATGTACATGTATAAAAGTGTGTGACATTCATGTTTTTGTCCTATTTGAAATCACGTGCTTTATGACGTTCCAATAAAAATAAAGAACTTTTTATTTCTTTGTTTCTTTATCTCTGAGAGAAGGTATAAAAAGGTCTGTTATAAGGGAAGTCATGTCATCCATACCTCAGTCGTCAACAGCTTACATTGAACATTTATTATCATGGACTCTTGCCTGCCGAGAATCCGAAACAACAGATCTAGGACACGTATAGCACGTGGTCCGAGTCGTATGGACATAGATTGAACGTAGTAGTGAGGCAAGCATATGTACATGTATAAAAGTGTGTGACATTCATGTTTTTGTCCTATTTGAAATCACGTGCTTTATGACGTTCCAATAAAAATAAAGAACTTTTTATTTCTTTGTTTCTTTATCTCTGAGAGAAGGTATAAAAAGGTCTGTTATAAGGGAAGTCATGTCATCCATACCTCAGTCGTCAACAAGAAGTGACTCATGGAAAAGTACTTAAAAAAAATCTGGTACGATCCTCGTCATGCCGGGTCCTTTGCGGGACCCTCCAAATTATATCAAGTGGTGAAACGAGAGGGTAAATACGACATAGGCATGAAAAAAATAAATTCCTACAAAACCAAGATGCCTATTCGCTTCAAGAGGAGAAGAGTCATCGTCCAGGGCATAGATTATCAGTGGGAAGCCGATCTCGCTGACGTCCAGAATCTGTCAGAGTACAACAACGGCATTAAATTCCTTCTGGTGATCGTGGACGTCTTTTCTCGCATGCTTTGGGTCAGACCTTTAAAAGATAGAAAAGCTAAAACCGTTATCGATGCATTCAAAGACGTATTCAGAGGACCGAGACACCCCAAAGCCATCCGCACCGACAAAGGTTCGGAATTTTATAACCGTTACCTCCAACAGTATCTGAAAGAGCAAGGAATAAAAATATTTTATGCTCTCAACGAAACCAAAGCCAACTTTGCCGAAAGATACATTCAGACCTTAAAGAAACGATTATATCGTTACTTTACCCACGTTCAGAAATACGAGTACCTCGACATCTTACAAGACGTAGTCCGATCCATCAACCACACTCCCAATAGGTCGCTCAATGGACGCACGCCGGCTTCGGTCAACAAAGAGAATGAAGAAGTGAGACTCGACGCTTACCTAGCTCGACGCCGAAAAGACACTGCAACACCGAGGGTTAAGAAATCCTTTTCGTCAAAGAAGCGCAAAGCCTATACATTTAAAGTGGGTGATCAAGTTCGAATTACGCATCTGAGACGAGCGTTTCAGCGCGATTACGATCAGACGTACACGGAAGAAATTTTCGTCGTCAGAGAGCGTTTTATGTCCCAGGGTCTCCCCATTTACAAGTTAAAAGACATGATGGACGATCCGATTCAGGGTACGTTTTATGCCAGTGAGCTCCAGAAAGTGTCTAAAGACGAACAGACCGTCTGGAGGATCGAGAAGGTCCTACAGAAACGCAAAGTTCGCGGCCAAGAAGAGGTTCTGGTGCGATGGTTGGGATGGCCCAAGAAATTTGACAGCTGGATTCCACGATCCGATATAAAAGAGACGTAACGCGTTCAAATACCTTCATTCATCGGAAAGATGTCGATGCGTATGGTCCTCAAGTCTACGGACAGTCCCTCCGTCTACGGTGATAATCAACCGTGCGACTTCAGAGTACGTCTACTCCGTCCCTTACCCTTAACGGGGGACTGGACGGTAGAATTGACGGAATTTCGCAACCTCAACGTTAAACCGACCTCCGACCAAGAAATCTTTGTCTACTGTTCTGTCTGCGACGAAAGCATCGTGGGTGAACGTCAAAAACCCCTCCTGAGTCGTATCGTTCTGGAAAACGACAAGAACGTCATCTTTATTCGACCTTATCGCGTGTCATTACGCAACAATGATTTGAGGGACATACACGTGTATATAAGGGACAAAAACGACTGCGACGTTTCATTCTTAGCCGGAGAATCGACGGTGACGCTCGTCTTTCGACGTCTCTGATCAATCATGTCTGGACCCACGTACATTTAAAACCCCGCTCTGTGGGAACAATTTCATCACACGGAGGGGGGTGAAAACTTTATTCCGTCAATACGACGAAACGCTCAGCGAGGAGGAGGTATCTTAAACCGACGAAAAGCTTGCATGATTCCCTTGAAATCTCGCAATCCCGTCCCAAATCACACCATCCATCAGGTGACTCCCGTGGCTGCCGAGCAGGAGAGAGCCCTATCCGATTTGAAAGAAACCATCCGTAACGACGAGCCTCACATGCCTCTCAAGAAAACAATAAAAAGAAAGAAAACGAAGAAACACATCGACTTCCAAAGGGAGAGGACGTGTTCAGAAACCAAAGAAAAAAGGTCGTAAACCAGCCAAACCCACAAAGAAAAAGAAGTCGACAAAACCGACGAAAAAAACGACCGCCCAGAAAAAATTCCGTCTTCCTAAAAAACCCATCTTTTAATCATGGCATTCTTGAGCGAGATCAACACGTCGGTGGCAGAACCCTCCGAACTGTCTCTCTTTAGCGATCCTCCGAACCAGGTGGCGGTACAAAAAATCTATTTCTCCGAAATACTACCCATTTCGTCCTTTGACGGCGAAACCGCTCCTCTCGAATTCGCCATTCCGGGAGGGGGAAACGAATACCTCGATTTGAGGAGGAGGAGTCTGTACTTGAAAGCCAAAATCACCAAAGCTGACGGTACGGCCCTAACGTCCTCTGAAAAAACGGGTATCGTCAACTTACCACTACAGTCCCTATTCTCTCAGATCGACGTCTACATGAATGGGAAATGCATCTCGCAGAACGCCAATAATTATCCTTGGAAAGCTTACCTCAAAGTCCTCTTGTCTAATTGGCCCGCTGCCACCAGCTCTCAGTTGCAGACCCAGCTGTACTACCCAGACAAGGAAGCCCTTGACGATCCAGATGCCGCCGGTGGACGAAACCAGGGTCTTCGATCGCGCTACGTCTTTACGCAGCTGTCTAAAACTTTCGATCTGGAGAGTCCCCTGTACGTCGCCTGTTTCTACCTCGACAAGTACCTGATCAACGGCGTCGACCTGCAACTGAGACTATTTCGTTCCAGAAACGAATTTGTATCGATGAGTAAGGAAGCCTCTCCGAATTACAAAGTGACCATCCTCGATGCCGTCTTTAAGGCATGTAAAATCCGATTAGACAGCGCCGTCTTGCTGAACCACGCCACTGCCATCACCAAATCACCGGCCCGGTACAACTACCTGAAAACCGACGTCAAGATTATGACCATCTCGGACAAGACCAGTGAAGTTTACTGGGACGACGTGTGGAACGGAAGAAGACCTTCCAAGATGTACGTCGCCTTTGTGAAACAATCGGCCGCCAATGAAGTTACGAGGGCAATCCGTTCAACTTCCAACACCTTAGTCTGTCCGAAATCGTCGTGACCGTCAACGGACAACCCACTCCCGTCCGCCCCCTGAAAATGGACTTTGAAACAAATCGAAATTACGTCTCCGCTCTCTGTAACCTGTATCAAGCGTCCGAAAAATGGTACAAGGATGACGGCCTGATCATCGACCGTGACCAGTTTTCCAAGGGCTACGCTATTTACGCCTTTGACCTCGACCCCAACGACCTGGGTGAGGGGTATATAAACCTGGTTCATCAGGGAAACGTCGGAGTATACGCTCGATTCGCTACACCCACTACGGAGACCGTCAGTACTCTTGCTTTTAGTGAATACCCGGGTCTCCTCCTCGTCGATCAAGCCAGAGAGATACGACTACTGTAGAAAAAAAATGGACACGATTCAGTTACTAACCTCACTTTCGTGGAGTGTTTGCGTCTGATACACTTCCCTCACGAGTCCGCCAGTTTCCTTCTGCTTTCGTGTGTAACACGGACACCATCGATAAGAAAGGGGCGCATTGGGTCGCTTACTGGTTCGATAACGTCAACGAATGCGAATTTTATGACAGTTTCGGAAGATTGCCGGAAGAGTACGACAGCCGCCTGAGAGACTTTATCGATCGCAATGCCCTTCTCTGTCTTTACAACAACGTGCAAGTACAGTCGGACTCTGCCACCAGCTGCAGACTTCACGTCTTGTTTTACCTCTATTGCCGCCCCAAAGGAATCGCCATGTCCAGTGTCATCCGTGCGACTTCGGAGACTGTCGTTCAGGACGTCGTTTTAAAGGGGAAACGCATTGTTTGACATTTATGTTCATGATGTACATTTTTTTTGGTATTTTTGTACATATCGCATTACCATGACATGTATGATTGTTCATTTTTTAAGATATGTATGCATTGGGGAAAAAAACTGGAATTCCGGAAACCTGGGATTCCGGAAATCTAAGGATTCCGGAAACCGGGTTTTTCGCGCGCGGCGGCGGCGGCCCGGAATCCCCTTTTTTCATAGAGAATTTATCATTCTCTGTATGTCCATGATGATTGTTTTTCATTTGTCATCTTTTGTATCTATATTTATGTGTAACCAATAAAAACGTAGACCCTATTTTTTTTTCTTATTTTTAATTCGAGGATTGATCTGGTAGGAGATTAGTGTTCTAGAGACCGTCGAAGAGTCGATCACGATGAAATTTAAAACTCCCACTTCTTTTGCCGTCATCGGTGGTACCATGTCTGGAAAGACACATCTGGTATGGAACATGCTAAAACACGGTTCCGAGCTATTCGACGTGACCCCCAGCAAGGTCGTTTACTGTTACCTGGAAGACCAACCCGTCGTAAACGACATGCTGTCGACCCTTCCTCACTTCTCCACCTATCGAGGTCTTCCCAATCGTGAGGAAATTCAAGAGTGGTGTGTGGATTCACCCCACACCGTCATCGTTCTAGACGATATGATACATTTGGTGACGAAAAGTCCCGACGCTTTACACCTCTTTCAGACCATGGTGTCTCATTCCAACATGACGGCCTTTCTCTTGTCTCAGAATCTCTACCCTCCCGGCGTGTACGCCAAGAGCATTCTGTTAAATTGTCAACACGTCGTCCTGTTTAAGAACGTGAGAGACAATCGTCAGATCATCACTTTCGGGAGTCAGGTGTTCACCGGTCGTTCCAAATTTTGGATGGACGCGTATGCCAAAGCCGTGCGTCACCCCTAAGGTTACATTCTGGTCGATTTGACTAATCATTGCCCCGAAGACAGACGTCTGCGCACCAACATCTTGCCGACAGAAGGGGACACCGTCGTTTACCTTCCTAAATAAATAAGACCAACGACGGTCATGTCACCGAGAACCAGTCGTCACGAAGCCTTCCTTAAATTCCTATACAAAGCAGACCCCGTTCAGAGGAAGCAGCTCGTAAACATGGCTACCGATGAACAGATAAATGCCTTCAGGGAAATTGCTCTGAACCTGTACGCGGGGCACCCCCCAATTTCCGGTTACTACAAGACAAAACTAAAGGTTCACAAGACTCTCCTTCAGTCCCTCAGTGACCGTGCAGTGGAAAACATCCGCACCCGCAAATTACTACGGAAACAGTCCCAGGCCATACCCTTGATTCTTAAACCCTATTTCAATGATGGCAGAGGAATACCTCCTCGTGAAGAAGACGATGTTCGACCGGATGAAACAGAATGAACAGAAAGAGACGCAAGACCGGGGTGTTAACACCGTAGAAGAGAAAGTTCCCCCGCATACCATAGAAGAGACCGTGCCCCCGCCCCCCGCAGGAAACCTTGAGACTCAAGACGGATCCGGTTTAAAGTATTCGGGGACGGGAAAGAGAAAGAGGAATTCCCCTCCGGGCTCACGCCCTCCAAAAAAAAGAAGGACGACGTGGATCAAGTTTTAAATATTCTTTTTATTGAATGACAATGCATCGATGTATATTTGACAAGTGTTACATTTTCTTTGACATTTAAAGCAAATCATTATGTACAAAATAAAATCAATGTCAATAAAATGATATCAAATGAATCAAAGAATTGTCTGTTTTTATCAATATCCGTATGGCAGTGTGGTCAGGTCCGGCTGGACGACCCGTTTGGTATATACGGCAGAATATTCCTTCAGTTCTTCCTGCGAATACAGTTCACTGTGAATTTTTTCTCGACGGATCTGGCTAGGGTTGTAGGTGTGGTAAACGCCGAGGTGAGCGTCGTCTCTATTAAACATGGCATCCTTCATACTTTCTAAATTAAGGATCTGCGAATTGGCATAATTTAAAGAAAATCCTTTGACTTTACATACGCGTTTACCTCTGTGGGTTTGATAAGCAATCACACACGAATTCCGTGATCCAGTCTCCCTCCTCAAGTTCGTTAGTGAGTTCGCCTAAATAGTCCCCGACGGGGGGTTCCCATTCCCCTTCGTGCGTTATGTAAATCACGGAATCGGTGTCCCAGTAGAGCACGCGGGATTGTAATTGATCCAGTAGCTCGTAGAGTTTTAATCGTGCCCAGCAGGTGGTGAAGGACGCTAAGAAAACGTTAGTGTGACCCGGTGCACACATTTCCTCCGAGGTGCATTTAGTGGAAAGCATCAGATTCTCGTCGTCCACGATATTAAAGTCGACGATGTGGACGGTGGGGT